TGCTCGAAATCCATAACTTATGCAAACTGTTGCAAACAAACTTATTCAGTCTTTCCTTCATAGCATTATGTTGAATTGCTTTAAATTTACCATACCCACCAAGACCCTAGCTTAAAATATTGAACAAATAATATATAGATGGACTTTTTTTACACACGTGCACGCATAGCAGCTGTCTTTTAAAGAATCACGCATTAACATTTTTTTAATATTTCTGATACTAGTTAAATACGTACTATCGAATGTCACCTTCCATCTTCAAGATATACCTTTATCTATCAAGCTTTCTAGAATGTTGAAAATTATATATTGCTATCGTTTATTTTTTCTAGAGTCAAAAATGTAATTTAGTTATTTTTAATTATTTTATATTTTACCTTTTTTTTTCTCTCCAAGAAAAGTAAAGGATGAAATATTTCTTTAACATCTACGAATATTTATTTCTAGTGTTCTTCTTAATATTTTCCACGAACATTTAACGTGAAAAACTGAGATGCTACCTTAAGTTATCAAACTCGATCACGTCCCAGATTTTTCACAAATAAATGCTACATTTAAATAGAAAAAAAAAACCTTGGTCAGATACACATATGCTTACGTATTATCAGAACCTACTTACCAAACAGTTGCGTATTTTAAGTCTAAGTTGTCCGAACAGGATACTAGCGCAGGAAGATCTGCTGTGAACTGGACTCCAATTGCCAAGGAAAGAGGTATTGTAGGCTACGTCTCATTGATGATGTAAGTGAAGGACTAGTTCATTGTGTATCATAGGTAGACGATATAAGATCCCACCATGGGTGGAACCACAGAGGGAAAGACTAGAGCGATCAATAACAAATCAAACTCCTTAAACGTCATATCTCTACAGTGTGTGCGTATCCTAGTTTTACAGTTTAAGACATAAGTTGGTAATGTTCTTTTTACCTGTAGGGTTAACATGTACCAACACAAGTTAAAGAGTGGGATATAACGGCATTCAGATAGAATTTTTTAATTTATTCGAACTTAGTGAATCTTATTTTCAAACTTGTAGCTTACTCTGTTACCACAACATGCTTTCTATAGTTCAAAATAACTGTATAGACTTGGGTGTATTTTATAACGGGCGTCGTTAATTCCATTAGTTTATTTACATTGAGTGGTAGTAAAACTCCATCCCCTTTAGCAGGTAATAGAGTTCTTTAATCTTCTTTACTGCCATTGGATAGTACAGTAATTCTTCCGCTCTTTTTGTTGCTACCAGAATATGGTGTATAGCTCTTTCACGTTTTTTTTTTCCACCATAAAATAATTTAGCGTTAATATTATTTATTGTCATCAGAAGGTAATGCAATTATTCCATTTTCTTTAGTGCTACCCTAAAATATTACAGCTCTTTCACTTACCAGAAGATAGTGGATCTCTTCCACTTTCTTTAATGATACCAGAAGATAGTGGATCTCTTCCACTTTCTTTAATAATACCAGAAGATAGTTGATCTCTTCCACTTTCTTTAATGATACCAGAAGATAGTGGATCTCTTCCACTTTCTTTAATGATACCAGAAGATAGTGGATCTCTTCCACTTTCTTTAATGGCGCCAGAAGATAGTGGATCTCTCCCACTTTCTTTAATGATACCACAAGATAGTGGATCTCTTCCACTTTCTTTAATGATACCAGAAGATAGTGGATCTCTTCCACTTCCTTTAATGATACCAGAAGATAGTGGATCTCTTCTACTTTCTTTAATGATACCAGAAGATGGTGGATCTCTTCCACTTTCTTTAATGGCGCCAGAATATGGTGGATCTCTTCCACTTTCTTTAATGATACCAGAAGATAGTGGATCTCTTCTACTTTCTTTAATGATACCAGAAGATTAGTACAGTGCCTCGCAAAAGTATTCACCCTCCCTGCAAAGTTTCCACATTTTGTTGCCGCATGAGCTTGCGATCATGAAACTTTCAAATGGGACTTTATATTTAAAATCTATACAAGCTACTCCAAACTGAGAAAGCTATATATTCGCTGATATTATGTAAGTAAGTTAGATCTACAAATAAAATTAGAATATTCTCAATTACATAAGTATTCAACCCCTTTGCTACGGCAGCCCTAAATCAGTTTAGGTGCAGAGGATTAATTGGAAAGGTCACATAATTACTGTAATAGTCTCAATCTGTATGTAATCAAAGCGGTTTAACTTGACTTCGGAGTAAATGAATCTGTTCAAGTCACAATTCACATAGTGATACGGCTAACCAACCATGAAGACCAAGGAGCTTTCCAAACACCTCAGGGATAAAGTGGTAGAGAAGCACAGACCAGACGAATGCTACAAGAAAATTTCAAAGTCGCTGATTATCTCTTTGAGTACGGTGAAATCCATCATCAAGAAGCGGGATGTGCTTCATACCACCCAGTCACGTCCCAGATTAGGCCGCCCTTCCAAACTAAGCAGCCGGGCAAGCAGGAAACTGTTTAGGGATGCCACTGTGAAGTCAACAAGGACTTTGAAAGATTTGCAAAGTTCCATATCTGAGTTGGCAATCAGTATTCATACATCGACAATATCCCGGTCCCTACACAAAGCTGGCCTTTATAGACGAGTGGCAAGAAAGAAGCATTACTGAAAAAAAATCATCTTAAACGTCGTATGGAGTTTGCGACAAAACATATAAATGATACTGCAGACACGTATCAGAAGGTTTTGTGGTCAGACGAGACAAAAATTGATTTTTGGTCTCAATCCAAAGCGTTACGTCTGGCGCAAGCTAATACAACAAATCACTCAGTCAACACCATCCCAATTATCAAACATGGTGGTTGCAGCGTCATGTTATGGGAATGCTTCTCATCAGCAGGGACTGGGAAGCTTGTCAGGATTGAGGAAAAACGGATGGTACAAAGTACAGGCGAATTCTAAAGGAAAACCTGCTTGAGTCAACCAAGAATCTAAAATTGAAACGAAAATTCAATATTTAGCAGTTCAATGACCCGAATCACAAGGCTAAAGCCACAATGGCGTGGTTTCAAAATAAGAAAGTGAATGTCCTGGAGTGACCCAGTCAAAGTCCTTACTTGAATCCAATAGAAAATTTATGGCGAGACTTTAAGATTGTAGTCCATCAACGATCCTCAGCTAACTTGTCAGTTATGGAAAATTTTTGCCAAGAAAAATGGACAAAAGTTGCACCATTCTATTGTGCAAAGCTGGTAAAGATCTATCCAGAAAGACTTACAGCAGTAATCGCTGCTAAAGATGCTTCCACCAAGTACTGATTTAGGGCGCCTGAATACTTATGCAATCATCAAATTTCAATTTATATATTTTCTTTGCACGTTTTGCTGACATTCAACCTCCTTCACACATAACAGTTTTAAGTCTGATCATTAGAGTTTTGAATAAAAACAAGTTCATTAAAAAAATTGTTTACATTATTTATATTTCATCAAAATATGACATTGGTAGTAGGGTGAATACTTTTGCAAGGCACCGTATATCCCTTCCACTTTATTTAGTACTATCAGATTACAGTATTGCTATTTTACCTTCTTTAATCCACAAGAAGGTAATGCAACTTTTCCACTTTAGTTGGTACTACCAGATTATAATATAGATATTTTACTTTCTTTAATCCACTAGGAAATAGTGTAACTTTTCACTTTCTTTAATCCACCAGAAAATAACAGACCTCTTTCACTTTAGTTGGTACTACCAGATTATAATATAGCTATTTTACTTTCTTTAAACCACCAGAAGATAGTGTAAATTTTCCGTTTTCTTTAGTATCAATAAATGAATAAAGAGCTTTTCCATTTATTTTAGTGTAGTTAAATGAAGCAAATACGAGTAATTTACGAAACGTATATTAAATCAATATTTCGACTCAAAAAAATGTAATGGGAATTTGAAAAAAAGCATTTTATTATAGCAAGATGGCCTGAGAATCATTACCATATGTAAAGTGGTACGTGAACAGAAAGTTTGAATGCTAGTGCTAGCAGGTCATTCTCGTATATTATATTTCTATTATACTCATACCCAGAACGTTATGACACTACTAGGAATACAGAGTATATACAACCTCCATCTTGTCTTTCAAATTATGGGCTGTGATGCAAAAGTAGAAATTTTTATATTTGTTCAGCATTTTTTTCTGGTAGATTCATATTTTCAAGCGACTTCGTTCATTTCAAAGTGAGCTGCTCCAAACACACAGTTTTTCACAAGACATCGTGATCTATAAGCCCGAGTTAAATTAAACACGAATTTATATTAAACACGTGTAGAGAACAAAAATTCTTCTCAACTGCGCAGTTTTGTTTCTAGGTAAGTTCTATAACATATTCTGGTTTTTTAGAAATCAACTGTTGATAAATAGAATAAAATAACTTAAACTAATGGTGAAGACAGTTAAGAAGTAAAATGTCAAAACTGTTATAAAATGTCAAAATGTTATAAATACAAATTACCTAATGCGTTTCATTTCTAAAGGTAATATAAATTAGCTAAAATATTTTTTTTTGTATTTATGGCAAAGCTGCTAAGGCCATCTGCCACCGTCCCTAATTTTGAACTACTGACCAGAAGGAAGTCGGCCAGTCAACAATACTCTTCCGCCCACCGTCCATGCTAAGGGATTGATTGTCACTCATACAACACACTTACACCTTAAGTACAGGGAATATTTTGTGGTGTCGCAAGGATTCAAACCCGACAAGCCAGCTGCGAAATCAAGAGCCAACCTACACCCTACAAAACAACGAATTGAAATGTGTATGATAACTTCAATACAGATTATAAAATTATCTAATATATTAGTTATAACATTTACAAA